AGGAACACTCACTTCAACCCCCAACCTCCAGCCCCTTTTGGACTCAGCACCATCTCCCTTCCGGGCCTGCCTGGGCCTGGAGGCTGAATGTGCGTAGCACCCTGCTCTGCCTGGGTCCTCTGAACTGAGCCCAGACCACAGTCTCCCTGCATATGGCTTCTCTGGCTGGGGCAGCATGGACCTCCTGGTCCCTCCCCTCAGCTCCCAGGGAACCCATTTTCTCTCAATTACAAGATCCCCTTCTGATCTAAGTGACCTCAGTGCCTGGTCTCAATTAGACCTTGGAAGAGCCACCTCGGGCATCATGGCCTCCCCTCTCCTCACTGCTCTCACCTGCAAACACCTTCCAGCCCCCAAATGATCAGGTTCCCTGACACTGGGGTGTCTTCTCTGACTGGGGCCCTGCCGCCCCCTCCCCGTCCATGTCCCCACACCCCTCCTCCTCCAGCTGTGCCTGCTGACTGTCCACTCTCCCCACAGTATCTCCTGGCCATGGTCATCACCTACTTCAGCCAGGCCGGCCTCCTCCCCTGGCAGTAGCAAAGGATCCTCTTCTTCTTGTCTCTGCAAGTACTGAGCCTCCCGCTACAGCCACGGTCCGCCCCTGAGTGGGGGGAGGGGACTCTAGCCTGGCCTCTGGGTTTAAACCTCTCTGTCCTGCTGACTCTGTAGGACAGGGGCATCATGCTACAGTGCGCCCGACTTCTCTGAGGAAACCTTGCAGTCTATGCTCATGTTGATTAAAGGAAGCCACCAGGGGAAACAGTCCCAGATAGCAGAGGCAGGCAGAACCCACACATGGGCCTTGGCCCTCAGGCCCGAGGGCAGCCATTTCTGAACCTTCCAGGGTCTCCTTCCTTAGTGATACCAAATGTCTTTTTGTTGCCTCCTCTGGGTTCCCAAGACCAGGAAAAGCCACAGCTGGAGAGACACGGTGGCTAGCCCTTAGGAGGCCTGGACATTGGGAAGGTCAGGTGGGAGCTACCCCCAGAAACAGGAGAAGGACTGTGGCCTTAGAGCCCTGCCCTCCCTGGGCTGTGCCTCAGTCAGATCTTGGCTCAAGGGAGAAGGACCTCACCTTGTGAGATGCCCTGAGGTTCTTGTCCCAGCCCAGCAACCTCAACCACGGGGTCCTCTGTAAAGAGAACACAGCATTAGCTTGGGACCTGGCACGGGTATACCCACAGGGCAACAGAACAGGGAGAAGAACCGGGCCTGCCTGGAAGAATATTACAGATGGGGTGCTGAGTAGGCATATGGGAAGAGGCGGAGAAGGACGTTCACCTGGCAGGGAACAGGGCTCAGCCCTCAGACTCCTGGAGGAGCAAGTGAGCGAGGGCCTGGGTCAGTGCAAATATCTGTGCGATTAGGATCTTCAGGCACGCTGTGGTGTCCCCATGACACATGAATGCACCCCTTTCAAACTCAGCATGCAGGTCCTTTCCTCTTGTGAGGGTCACATCCTGGTGTGAGCATGACCCTTCCACCCATCTAGTGCTGAAAGCCTGTGCATGGAGC